TCAACCGACACTACAGACTTAAAATAATTCTATGAAAGCCACAATTAATTGCAAAAGATAATCAAATATAAATTTCTATGTGTTATATATATGTGGTGAAGATAAAATGAGTCTGAGACGTCAATTAATTTAAGTGTAACACAAGATAGTTTGTCTTTAGTTATAGACTTTGGATGTTTATGAATAAAATATGTTCAGATGAAAGAAAGTGACGTAAAAAATACCCAATGTGTCGAGGGACCAATAATGATATTATTCACAGTAATAATTATAAATATGAACATAAGCAGACTTTATATTAGGAATAATAAAAAAAAAACAAAATGGACGCGAAAAGTTTCAAAAGTTGCACCTTACTTTTCAGTCAATTAGATACATGACGGACCTTGTTTATATAAATCATTATTAAACATATTAATATTCGATAGGTGGTACGACCCGCTTTCAGAAAAAATCAGCAACGAGACTCATGAATCGGGTTGTAGTTTCATTGCAACGGAGGTTAACTGGCAATCTGTTCTACATGGTTAAGTAGCGAATAGCAAACAAAATGTCTGGCGTAAGTTCTGGTCCAGGCTCTTGGAATCGCTAGAACGTTTCCCTTACTGCTTAGATTGTGAGATGATATCATGGAATATGAAATAGGTGGATACCGAAGAGTAGGAAATGTCATTAATTAACCGGTAAAAAAAGATGAACTTTAATTAGACACTCCTGATTCAGAGAGGTCTTGTTTTGGATTGTTGACATCTCTGTTGACAATCCTTGGTGTCAAAATATCCCAAAACAGCTTTGATGAACCTTTTGAATACCTTTAATTTTAATCAGGTCATTATGCCTGAAATTACTGTAAACTAGAAAATATTAATACGACAAATTAGGAAAGTGTTATCATTATCCGGAACTTTTGAGCATGGTGCCGAGAAAATTAATAAGGAAGAAAATAGCGATTCCAAGAGATGTTTCGTTTTATTTCGGCCGGAGATGGGTGTGAAACCGCTAAGTCTGTTTCCTAATGCACAATCGTTACATAGGAGCTCCTTAGGACTAACTATGTCAGAATGAATGTTAAACAGTCATTAAGTTTCGAAGACTATTTACTGTAAGAGCTATCCTAGTGAAGTGATACTCCGTTGGAGTTGCATTGCGAAATTTTGCCTATGTTTATCGGTAAAATTTTCGCAGTTTTCCCACAAGGGAGTATACGTTTACATCAAAGAAGCTGAATTTTATCGACCATAGTGAATTTGTAAACTTAGCTCCAACTAGTTACCAAGCAAATACTGTTCATTTAATGACAGAAATGAAATATATAGAGATAATGCCCATAATACCCCTTAAGTGGTTTTGTCGTTCTTCCCATTCAAGCCCAAAAATATGGAAATTTTGTAGTGAGATAAATATTTCTGTTTCCAAGCTTACCAACCATAAACCACTAAACTCATTTTCAGACGAGTTTGCCCCTCAGGCGTTTCAACAATTGGACCACATGTCATAGTTTATTTCAGATATGCAACATATGTCTGTGGTGAACAATGCAGTTGCAGACATCTCGTTTTGCACTAATTTCTTGGACAGTTTACAAAGAAACGACCTTCTTAAACTCGCCCGATTCCCAAAGGAACACTCTGATCTTCGGCGCCAACTGTCTCCAACAACCCTGAAAATGGATGTAGACAGGTTGGTTAGCTTTACTATGTGATACATCTACAAGTAGGGATTGCCAAACAGTGACGAAACATTGTCGTCGCGTCGTCGAAACGTTGCACAAGTTTTCTCGTACAGGTTTGCTTGTAGCCACCAAGCTCACGGCAGAACGATTTTTCCGGCCTGATATAAATAAAGATGTGACGGAGTGGGCACGCTCCTATGTAAGCTGTTAGAAATCTAAGGTGATTAGACACAAAAAATGTCCCCTATGCTCATTCAAAACTCTCGATGCTCGTCTCGACCGTGTTCATCTGTACTTGGTAGGGTCTTTTCTAGATTCAAATTGATACTCTTATCTCTTGACTTGCGTGGACCGTTTCACTCGACGGGCAGAAGCAGTACCCATCATGAACATTACTCCCGAAGCAGCGACTCACACCTTCATCAAACAGTGGGTGGCAAACTTCGGTTGCCCTTCAACTATCACTGCAGAGTGAGGACGCCAATTCGAACCTGGACTTTTCCACCAAAACTGACCTTGTTAACACAGTGTATTTAGAAGAAAACCCTAGTCATGTTGATTTTCTTCCAAAACTTAGCTGGTATCCGAAAACCGGTTAACAACAACGCGTTCTAAAATAAGAATTGTAAGGTACTAAGAACACATCAGAGACTAGTATGCGTAAGACACTGTAGAAGTTCATTTTATCGCCATACTTTTGCATTCTTATGCAAAGGAACGGATGCTAGGCTGCCGGTGATATTCACGACAGAGATGATCTCTCAACTGATCCAACTTTTCTTTGAAAAAGCATCCACAAAGGGAGCTTCAGTTGCGTGTTGGAAGATGAATTTCATTCGTTGACGATTCGATGGGAAAGTCGATAGCTGAAAAGTAATTTGTTCTGAGCTTGTGAACTCTTTTAAATTGTCTTCGTAAATTTTTCGTTTCGGAAGTTAAATGAAACCAGGGGACATTAAATGCAAATTTGACACTTGGTAATTTAAAATGCGTTATCAAGCCACCTCTAGTCCTTCAATATGACAACAGATAATAATAATAGGATATTTCTGCATGAGCAAGTGCATGCCATTTTTACAGGTACGATCTAAAAATTACAACATTTGTTGGCGCACAGCATGCTTCCCAACTCATTACGTTTATAGCTGTTATAAAGTAGACTCGTAGGTTTGGTTCATCCAGTCGATCATCATACAGGAACTTTACCATTCCAGGAATCAGCCCAGTTGCGGTTTCGTGAAACTTTTGCAACAGCTCACCGTCTCTTTTAGGTCAGGGGTTAGCCGCTTGTATGCAATACTCAAGTTTCGGACACACGAACACTGTGTACAAAGTCAAGGAAATTTTAGCGTCGACATGACTAAGAGTCCTACGTATTGACCATAATGTTCTAAAACCTTTGGCGGCTATTGCGTGGCAGTGTGCAGTAGTCTTTAAGTCTTGGCTAACGATGACTCCTAAGTTATTGTTTCTGGACAACAGGTAGCTCAGTGTTATTCATCATGTATGTATCTGTACTTTGATGGCCGATATACATCACAATACACTTATTCGGCAATTGCAAGGTTTGAGACCATTCAGATAATTTCTCCAGGTCATTTCGAAGTTCCAAGCTGTCACCCTTACTTCGTATCGCTCTCCATATCTTGACATGGTCAGCATATAACAAGACCGAGGATGATATAGCAACTCACGTGCAATTGAGTTTGTTCACATTTAATCCGATTAAGTTATTTTGTTAACTTATTAACGAACTGAGTCATCCGTACAACAACAATTTATCTATATCACTGTATCTTTATTACTATTGTTGTACGGATGACTCAGTTCGTTAATAAGTCAACAAAATGACTTAATCGAATTAAATGTGAACAAACTCAATTGCACGTGAGTCTCTATAATGATATGGGACTACGAAGGTCACTTTTATATACGAGGAATAGCACTGGCCCCAAAACCGTAAACATGAAGTACTCCACTGAGCATAGTTTCCCAACAAGAAAGCTCTAGGTTCATGCTTACACACTGTTGACGTTCATCGACCAAGTCCTTTATCCACAGAATAAATCACCTTCAACAGCCGGTTGTGAGGAACTTTTTCAAATGCTTTGCTGAAGTCAATGTAGGTTAGAACTATAGGTAAATCATGATCATTAAGAGCGCATCAGCCTTCAAGAGCCACTATAAAGTTAATGCGACGAGGATAACCTATTCTAAAACAACGCTGCCTTTCGGAAAGAATCCGGTTTTTATCGCGATACTTAAAAACCCTTTCTGAATAATCTTTTATAAAATTTTGAAAAACACGTTAGTTAGGCTAATGGGTCTATAGTCTTCAGGTTTATGTTTCGCAACTGTTTTGAAAACAGAATTCACTATGGCGTTCTCCCAATCTTTTGGTGGACGACTCTGGGTAGCGGATAGATTAAAGCATATACCTAAGGGGATAACAACGAAGTTAGATAGTACTGTTAGTGAACAAGGATGCAGTTTATCGGGTCCCGTGGATTTGCCTATATCAGACTTATTTCGCAGACCAAGGACATTGAGTTCTTTGACGGTCACGTTGTCCAGTATGTATGTGGGAAGATTTGTATGGCCTGAAAGAAAAGGTGTTTCCACGGTATATATTACCCAAGTAGTTTGAGAATAATTTAGCTTTACCAAAGTTTTCCTCCGCTAATAATGAGACACTATTGTCCCCACATCGTGCTGGAATATTTTCTATTCTTTTAGTTCTTTGATTTGTGTACGAACCCAAGCGACAAGGGCATTCTATAGATTGCACAACAATTTTTCGTTGTACAAACTTCTAGACATACGGAGGGTCGATGTACAAGCATCCCGAACTCCTCGATATTGAGACTTTGTCTCGTCAGTCCCCAGTTGCCCAAATTTACTCCACATTCTCCACTTGCAGAGAAGGGTGTGAACCTCTTTACTGAACCATGGTGGAGAGTTCCTCGGCCCCCTAGTGTATCCCGAGATATGGTATGCAATAGCCTTCAAGGATAAATTTCGAAATACACCCCTAGCTGTTTCAATTAAGGACTTCAGCTCTATTGTACAACCTTTCTGACGATGCTGAGTGTATAATATCTTGTGTATTAGCTTTCCAGACGTATGGTCTAGGTTGAGCTGATGAGTGCTCGTTTTAGACAACTATATTGAAATAAATCATTAGAATAAGATTTCTACTGTATGACTGTCTTACCAATTGACGCGGCACACTTCCATTATCACAGATCTTTTTTTACCGATCGTCGTATTTGCAACGGAATCAGTAGTTCTAAACATTGAAATGTGGAAATAACGTAGTCGTTGTTTGGTCAACTGTAGGACGTAACGTTCATGTTTTTCAAAACAGTTGAGTTCATTTAGTGTAGTCAGCGTTCATTCGCTGCAAATTCCGCTTGTCCCGTTAGTTTGAAAGCGTTTCACAAGTGCTTATCTATTTACAGTATCCACGTCCGCATTTATCTTGAATCTCACTATCAAAGCCAATATGGATCTAACTGTCCTTACTTCCATTGTGTCGGGGGGCATTGGTGTTTTCGTTGGCTGGTGTATCTTTCGTCGGCTTGGTAGCAATGTAAGCCCCAATTTTTCCAAATGACTAGTCTCTCAATAATAGGTCAGTCTAGCATCAAAACTGACTCATTACAAGCCTGTTCCTGGTAAAATGAAACTAGTGTTAATAGTACGGTCTGATCTTAAAATGGGTTGTGGAAAGATTGCTGCTCAGGTAAATTACCTCATACTCTTAAGATCCGTAGTTTTGAAGTGTTCTCATGCTGCTGTTTCTTGTTATGAAGAGATTATTGAGAGAAATCCCGGTATTTTAAAGGCATGGGAAGAACAAGGACAACCAAAAATCGTACTTAAAGTCGACAACTATGAAGAAATGTGGATTTAGTCATGATTCTAATACATTGACTCTAATCTATTGCTGTTTTTAGGCTTGAACTATCCCACAAAGCCGAGTCATTGGGCCTTGTTAATTCAATTATACATGATGCTGGCCATACACAAGTTCCTAAAGGCACCGCAACTGTTCTTGGGATAGGACCGGGTTTGTACTTAAAATTACTTTTATTTTTCCCCATCAGCTTTAGCTTCTGAAATAAACCTTGTTTCCGGTGATTTAAAGCTGCTCTCTTAAGATTATTCCTGTAAACACTTATGACATATGCACCAGTGTAAAGTTGAAACCCAACTATTTTAGACTTCAAAGAAAAAATACGAGATTACTTTTGCTAATTTTTGATATTTTTCTGCCTGAACCAAATACCTTCAGTGATTAGTTGTAAGTTGTTAGTAATCACCTAAATCCTTTGGGAGTTCCGCAATTACCAAATAGTAATAGCTGATATAATGTTTGTGGAATCTCTTAATTAATATGATAACCTTATTTCAGAACTAGGTTTAAACAGAGCCAGCACTTCTTAGAGTGTAAGTACTAACTGATGAGTCAAAGGTTCGAAATTGTTAGACGGTATCATCCATCTAAGGTGGTCGAGTACATCACTTGCCAATCATTGGCTGGTCTAAATCCCATGGGCTTGTCCCCAGTTATGTTGCTGTCGGGCTAACCAGTTTATGACTAATATGCGATCCTACTTTTTCACCAGGCCTTAAACTTGATATTGTACACAACAACCTGTCTTCAGGATCATACTCGTCTCGAACATCTCCATATCACTCGAAAAGTGATCTACTTTTTAAATAACTGTCGAGTTAGAAGACCTAAGTTAATGTATTATTACATTCCCTGTCTCAGCCAAATCCAAAGGAGGGAAAAAACCACTAGTTGTTAAGTAAATCAGCACGCATATATTTTAGAGCATTATTGTAAAAAAATTTGGATAGTAAATTATTAATATGTTGAGATCTCAGTGGAATTATGATTATGAATACAGTGGTCTTGAGTGCTGTTAGAGGTATGAGGGCGGTTTTCACTTCCCGGTTGCCCACACCGTGGAAGGGTTGTTCTGGGGGTACCTGAAAAGGAATTTGGATTAAAGGTGGTCTTAGTGACCTGAGAGCGTGACCGCAGTGCCCAAGGGACAACTGCTTGAGGTCGGTCACACACGACCTTGTTATGGGTAGTTTTTGTGTTAGCTCCGTGCTTATTGAGACCTTACCGCCGGAGACGGATATCCGTGGGATAAGGCGAGGTGTGCATTTTTAGGGTCAACCTTTTCTAACCCCACCCGTCCTTGTGGGAAGGCAGCATCGCTGTCATGCTGGTTGTCTGAAGGAAACACCTTACTGCTGTCACACCTCTGTACAGTCAGCAGTACGACTTCGCCTTCGGACCTTGGGTTTGTTGCTTTTAGTCTTACCGCTCTTCAACCGACCTGTCTGACATGGTAGGACCTTGAGGAACGGTTGTTCCAGCCAGTATAGCTCGGTTGCTTCATCACGATAGGCAAGCCCGACCAGCACGTCAAGGTAGCAACAACGGTCGGGATCTCAGTGGAAAGGTTTATGTCGCAGTTCAAATGCAAATGTCATGTTATCTTTCAAGAAACAAATAACATCCCAGTACGGGCCGATCGTTTTATTCTTATTAGTGGCTTTATTCAATATTGTATTTTTCATACAACAGAATTTTCAGCCTGAATTATTTCAACACGTTTTTTATTTTTTAACCGATCCTTGCAATATTGAGCGGTCGCCAGTTAGATTTTAGCAGTTCAGGACTCAACATCTGAATAATGTACGTTCTTTTCGATGCATATGGCCAGCAATCACAATGTTTCTGACTGGACTCTAGTAATTTGTGTGGCAATATCGTAAACTTTCCACAAACGCACCTGAATAGGTTATGAGACTAATAGGTATAATGATGTGTTCAAACAAACAAGCAAAAACGTGACTTCTTGAAATATACAGATGGCAGGAACAGGTGGCCCAGATATTCAAGCAGGCCGCCTCAATCGATCTTACATTGAGCGGCACCTAACAATCAGGTTATCGATTTGAAAACAGCAAACAAACTGTTTGACAAGAAGCCGAGGATATAAAGTTTGTACTTGTTATCCATATGATTTAATAATTTACAAAAGTGGTAGGAAAAACATTTGAGAAGCTTGTGACAGCATTCCTATTAGATCTACTAAGTTTTTTCTTAAAGAACTAAGTTGCTGACTGGTTAGAAGACTCAAAAAGCAATCCAGTTGGTTCATTCTAGGTTCGAAATTCAGCCAATTACATTTTCGATCTTATGTGTGCAATCAGCCTAACAATTATATAATATATTAACAAAATATAACCTTAGGTGACTTTCATACGGCTAGAAAGAAAGTAAATATAATACACGATTAACACGTAATTTGTCGAGTTTGTCACTCATTACGCTTTCTTTTAGGATGAATAAAGAACAATATGCCTGTTGATAACAAAACAATGATATGTTTTTAATATCCCAATGAGTAAGAATTGGAAATTTCTTTATTGTTGAGAATTTACTGAACTTTGCACCTGTCACTGAGAAGCTGTAATTGTAGTTTTTAAGGGTTTGAATATTCATCAAGCAGATAAATGACTGGAGGAGTTGCGCGACATGGTATTAGAATTGAAATAAAATGTAATTAGGAAGAAGATAACAAGAATAAGTCGGTTGGGGGTAGAAAGGTTTATGTTAGTAAGTAAGGGGACACTGAACAGCTGTTTTGTCCTAGTAGCTCTTCAGCCCTATCTAAGATCAGTCTTTGACGTCAACCATGAAATACGGAAATTCCCGTGAACCGTTGACAGTCAGTCATTATTACTACCGTTAATCACTGTGTCGAAGTTTGCTCGAACACCAGAGATGGGTCTAGATTTTCATGGTTAAATATTTTTTTAGAATATCAATGGAACCTTTTGCACAAAGCATTAACGATATTATAGTCAATTATAAAAACTCGACTTACCATACTCTGTGTGATTATTGATTAGATGTGATTGTGACAACTTTATCGCTAATACATACCTTTAAAAAGAATTATCAATAATCAGAAGACCAAACGAGTAAACAAGCTGATTTATGTACACAATTCAATGAAATATGAATCTCCAAACACTTTTCACTGAAATGTATCTAAAACAGTTAATAAATTTAACCTAATTATCTCCAACAAGTAATGGTAAAATACTAGATTGTACTGAAATTGGTGCATATTAGTTGACTAAGTCTCGGTTCTGGAGCATATTTATGTCTAGGCCGACAGATATGAGATATTTTATTACTATTATTATTAGTGTTCGAGTGTTTTGAACAAAGATTTGGTTCTTGAAACTGTAGAATAACTAATTTTGTCGGTTCCATACCAATTCGACTTCCAGCAGCACATATTAAACGTTCTTCAGAAGCAACTATACGCCAGATAACACCGCCTCGTCCAGCTCCATCAAGGCGTAAAAGATCTCGAATGTACGCACCAGACTGCTTATCCCATAATTTCACTGTACCATCATCACCAGATGATATTATAAAATTACGAGTTAATTGAACACATGTAACGGCTGATTGGTGTTTATGAGGTCCTATACACAAATAAAAATTATTATATTATTACCAAGTAATAAATTGAATTAGCTACATGACGTAGGTATAAGATACAAACGAATTTATAATATCATAAATCTAGAAAGGATTGATAAAACGGAAAAAGTGTGTTAGGTGGTTGGAAGCAGTCGATAGAAAACCCTGGATATAGAGTTCGCGCTGTTTGGGACTAGTCAGGAAGGTGTGTCTGTAAGATTAAGGGAACCAGTCCTACCAGGTGGATCCGACTTCCTATCACTTGATTCGTAATCTTAGACGTTACCACTAAGCTACCTGAACTGGGGACTTTAGGACTTTATATGTCCAAGTCAACAAATAAGTAGATAGTGTATTATCATTTTACGGTTGAACAAATTTTAAATTAAAGTGATGATATATGATAGCTTTAACTGACTCATAATTTCAATCTGTGAAAATTTCTAAAAATCTCCACAAACCCCTTCTGATAATAATCATCTGCTCACTAGTGACTGACTTCAAGAGATACTCCTGGAGTTCTAGTGGGAAGCCGTTACCCGTGGAGTTCAACCAGGTCGGTTGTGAGATATCAACTCACTGAAGACAATGGTATATGGTGGCGCAACTTCGTGGATTGGTTGAAGTTATACATTAACACCGTTGGATGTCGGCTTAGTGGTTAAGAGGTTAAGCGCTCGTGCGCGAGACTGAAGGTCTCGCTTGCGGGAATCGGACCCAGGTTATCAATGGTGGTCTAACTTAGATCGACTCATAAATCCAACTACTAAGATTATCACTTCGCTCACTTGAATCTTTATTAATTTTCATATAAAATGCCTTGACAAGTATATGTGTGACCACATTGTTCGAAATGTTTAGCGCAAATACACCACATTTTTCTGATAAACTCAGTCTTCTCATTGTTCTATCTAAATTTATAAAAGGGACCAATTGCTTCAAAACTAGAGTATTCGAACAAGAAACAGACATGTATATATCACATGTGTTCTCAAGATCAGTCTGAATTATAGATTTAAATAAATAAGTGTTCCTTAACAATTCTCATAGTTAGGTCACACTGACCAACCTGTGTGTAGGCGCAACCCAAAAGGTTTTCCGTATTTCAGAGAACATCCTAGTGTTAAATATCACTTGAACTCCTACACCTTTCCACATAACGCTTAGTAAGTTTGAATCATTCAGGTTTTTCATATATAGATTGTTTTGGTGCCAAGTGTACGTTTACTACATTTGTGACAATGTTAACCGTTAAAAAAGTGTTCTGACTTACACTACATCAATTTGTTCATATTAGCCAAACTAGTTTTTATCATGGTTTGAATTATCCCGTGGTCGATATTTTGACCAAAATTTGATCAGTCTTGACTGGTACATGTGCATTATGTGCCGATTACCTCGAATATGCATTATAACAAGTTTATATAAAACAGATAGAATGTTACGAGAAGTGGGATCCAAGACGCACGTTTCGTCTTATCCGTGCATTCCGTAAGTGAGGTTCATTTCGAGACTGGCACCCAGTAGTACAGTACCGTTCGCTCTGAACGTCAACGCGTTATCCACTTAGAAACCGATTACAGATAGCCACTCACTTGTGCAACGATTATATCGAGGCAATCCGCACAAGATGTACATATACCAGCCAAGACTATGGAAATCGCAGTCAAAATATCGAAACCATGGTAATCCAAACTATTAAGAAGTAAATTAAGATTCACACACGTTCCACAAACAAGTGCTGTCCGAACTCAACAGTCAAGTGGATAATGTGTTGGTGTTTGAAACGAACGGTACTATACTGGGTTCCAGTCTCGAAGTGAACATCAACTGTGGGATGCACGGATATTCAGCTGATGGATCCCGGACACGATGAAACGCGTCCTGGATTCTACTGTTAGCCATATTCTATATAAGTTTACATCTAATCTGAATACGACCGGAATCAATTCCAATGAATTTCGCTTAAAATCATGAAACTTCTATATGGACATGAGCAGATTCTACTGCTCAAAATATACGCCATTTTAAAACATCAATCATACAACTTTAAGGAAAGTTCAATAAATCGCCAGTTAGCGGAAGACAGTGTTTAAACTGAGACCCAAGTTACCAAACTTCTATTCATCGAATAGGGAGAAAACTGATGAGAGGATGAAAAATAAAGCTTAGATGATAATATCGATAATGATTTCAAAAAATTAACCTAAGAAATATCGTCCAAATAGTCAGATCATAGAATAAGAATTATGACGTAGTGGTATACTAATGGTCTGGAAGCAAAACAAACGGACACACCTGGGTTGCTGTGACAACTTTTCAGCCATGTGACAATGGTTCGAATCACTAATTATGTTCATCGCCCAGGTGCAAATCAGCAAGTCTGTGGCTCTTACTGATGCGGCACAATCCAACAGTCCATTACTTCTTGAACTGTGGTTTGGCTGCTCGCAGCGTTCTTGCAACCTGCTACTATGATGGCCAACATAGTATAATGGGATAGGTGGTAACTGAGCACCTGTATAAAAACATGTTCATGTGCTATTCTTTCATCCGTCCAGACAAACCTAGAGGATTCCTTTCTAAAAGTATCATCGACATGTACAAACATTTAAAGTAAACACTGACCGCAATACCAAAAAAAGCATGTTAAACACTGTAGACTTACCAGCAAGAACATGTACACACTTTCCACTATTCATATGCCAAACTCGTATTGTTTCATCGGCATTACTTGACACAAGAATATTTTGTTCAGACCCAAATGCTAATTCACTTGTTAATGAACGATGACCATAGAAAGTTTGTTTCAATTCACCAGTATGTGCATTCCATATACGTATAGTCGTATCCAAAGAACCACTAATAATATGATAACCATCAAATAATAATGTGTAAACACGATTTGTATGTGCACTGAAAACACGTAGACAATGACCTTGTAATGCACACCATAAACGAATTGTACAATCATAGCTACCTGAAACAATTTGATCACCAGTAAACTGAACACAACGTATTGCTCCACGATGACCTTGAGTTGAAGCAAGGGCAAATGTAAAACACTTTCTACATTTAGTTCCCGTTTTTCATTTTAATTGATGCAGTATATTATTAATTAATATTATTTTATAGTTTACCTTTAGGTGCTTACAACTGTACTCTTATTGAAATACAAAATAATTTGAAATTAATTGACGGAAGAAAATATGGAAATGCCAACTATTATACATATAACATATAGATATGTAAAAAAACCATGGGTAAGGTCTTCCGAAGATGGGAATCAGAAACATAAAGAAAATGAGGAGTAAATACTTGCAATCGGAAAAATAATAAGATGGATTATGTAATAACCAATGTGTGGGTGGAAATGATAATGATTGGTTGTCTGCTTAGTCAGACATGTAGATAGTCTGACAGGTGTCAGATGAATTATATATTCCCCTATCTTTATAATTATTATTATCGAATGTTTATTGTTGTTGGGTTGTGTCGGGCTTTTAGTGTGGAAACATATTTACGTTGTGGTTAGGCTAATCACGTGTTCTTGATCTAAGTTGTGCTAAAGTCCCGTAGAATAGACACTGAGAGGGGATCTAGTGTAGATATTCGTCCAACGTAAATTAACGTCCCATACGCGGAAAACCAGCCGTTATAACAATAACCATAAAAGCTTCGAAGAGTTTGCATGAGTTTCATCAGTAATATGCAACGTGGAATCCGATATATATGTGCATCGGTTCAAGTTACCATACCAGATTAGCATGGCGAGATAAAATTATCAAGAAAAATGTCAGAGTGCTGGGAGTAATAACAGTATCAGGAGTAATTTAAAAGCGATAAAAAGGATTACGGAACTCAGCTTCCAAAGGAAGTCAGAAAGTTGGTGCACCTTCACCATTGCAAACGGTTTTGAGACATCACACAAAGTCTCTGAGCAATGATTACAGTAATTAATTTGACTCATTCCAATTTCCAACGACATCACGGGTCGATGCAACGCCTTGATTTGGCCGCACCTTTCAGCTTACCTCCCACATCAGATAACATCACCCGTCGAGGTAGGGGGCGACTGTACATACATAGCACATAGGTGTTTTAAATTAGGTGAGTAAAACTCTGTTGTAACTTTAAATTCAAAATTATACGAAACATACTCGGAAATAATCTCCCCTCTGTTGTCCCAAGGTGAGAACCATGGCAAATACATGTAAATTGCTATATATTAAAGTACATGCATCGGAAAAACAGAGAAAAGAGTACATCTTATTCCCGATAACGTTCCAACGAATTAGAGACTAGTATAAATAGCTCTAAACAGTGCAACGACTTCTAATATCACCGATAGCCGGGATATGATCAACTTTTACCAATTTTTCCAAATTATCAAAAGACGAAAAAAGCTCAACATCTTTAAGCTTTGCTGTAACACTAAACCGTAAAGAAATAAATATTAACTTAACACTACATCTGTAAATTCGTAACATTGATTAACATTGTTTTTAATGATAATAATAAATTATTACTCAGCGTATTTTGTTACCTAATCTTCGGGACTCGAATCAAAGACCCTCGAGCTCACGCAAAAGCTCGAGATCACTGAGCCGGCATTCAACAGTGTTAATGTCTAATTTTAACCAATTCACGATATCGTGCCACTATCTTTATATCTTCTTTAATGACTAGCTTCGAGAGGTTATACTCGGAGTTCTAGTGAGAAGCCGTGACCAGTGGAGTAACGGGTGCGACGTAGTCCACCGCAAAAACAATGGAGGATGGTTGCGCAATATTGTGGGTTGGATGAAGTTACACACTAACACCTTTGGACAAGAGCCCAGTGATCCAGAGGTTAAGCTTTTGTGCGAGCTCGAAGGTCCTGGGTTCGAGTTTCACGTGTGGGATCGTGAATGAGCACTGTTGAGGAGCTTCATACTAGGAAAAAAAGACTGTCTAGTGTTTCCGGTTTTTAATGGTGGACGTCAATAAAATATAAGTTGTTTTAAATCACGAACTGGTCTTAGGCAGACCTACATTGAAAATCTGTAAGCACTAGATTTATCAAAATAACCAAACAATATGTAAAAAGTCAGTCAGCCAGCTACAACGTAGGACCAGGCACATATATGCATCGGTTCAAGTTGCCATACCTCATTAGCACAACAAGATGGACACCGGATTCATAAAAGTAGTTAATTCAATGGTGGTAATATATAAAAGAAAGATTGCATATAAGGATATAGTACAGGAAGAAAGAATTAGTTGGTAGAAAGAAAGATATGAAGCGATTTTAATCTCTTAGTTTAAGGGAAGACAGAGTGTATACACCGACGCCATTGCGATCGATTCTGAGCCATGTCACCAAAAGTCTCCAACCATTAGTTACGATAGTCACGCGGACCACAACCAAGTAGTCTGTACCTACCAACAAGGTGAGGAACAAGTGCCGATGGACCGGAAAGAAGGACACCTTATCAAGATTCCAAAGAGAGGAGATCTGAGCAAATGTGAAAAATACAGAGGCATTACACTACTTTCAGTAACCGGGAGTCTTTAACAGTGTTGCTGAACCGGATGAAAAACGAAGCAGATGCCCAACTTCAAGATCAACAAGCTGGATTTCGTAAGGACCGATCGTGCACAGACCGAATCGCAACACTACGGATCATCGTCGAACAATCAGTTAAATGGAACTCGTCACTGTACATCGACTTCGTTGATTATGAAAAGGCATTTGACAGCGTAGATAGGAGAACGTTATGGAAACTTCTTCGACACTACGGATTTCCTGAGAAGATTGTCAACATTATCCGGAACTCATACGACAGACTACAGTGCAAGGTCGTGCATGGTGGACAGTTGACAAACGCATTCCAAGTAAGGATCAGAGTCAGACAAGGCTGTCTACTCTCTCCCTTCCTCTTTCTTCTGGTGGCCGACTGGATTATGAAGACCTTGACATCTGAGGGAAAGCACGGCATGGACAGCTCAGAACCAATTAGATTATTTGGACTTCGCAGATGACCTAGCCTTCCTATCGCACACACATGAACAAATGCAAATAAAGACAGCCAGTCGAGCAGCAGTCTCTGCATCAGTAGGCCTCAGCATACACAAGGGGAAAACCAAAGTCCTCAAATTCAAAGCGGAGAACACCAATCCAATCACACTTGATGGCGAAACTCTAGAAGATGTGGAATCCTTCACATACCTGAGAAGCAACATCGATGAACAAGGAGGTTCAGATGCAGACGTAAAGGCGAGGATCGGCAAAGCAAGGGTCGCATTCCTACAATTGAAGAACATATGGAACTCAAAACAACTTTCAACCACTATCAAAGGCACAATCTTCAATACCAACGTCAAGGCAGTCAGTTCTACTGTACGGAGCTGAAACTTGGAGAACAACAACCACCATCAAGAAGGTACAAGTATTTATAAATAGTTGTCTACGCAAGATACTCAACATCCATTGGCCGGATACCATCAGCAACAGCCTTCTGTGGGAGAGAACAAACCAGCTTCTAGCTGTAGAGGAAATTAGGAAAATACGTTGTAAGTGGATAGGACATACATTACGCAAATCATCAAACTGAATCACGAGGCAAACCCTAACATGGAATCCTGAAGGGAATTTGAAAAGAGGCCAAAGAACACATTACGTTGGGAAATAAAAGCAGATATGAAAAGGATGAATAACAACTGGAAGGAGCTGGAAAAGATTGCCCAGGACAGGGTTGGATGGAGAATGCTGGTGAGCGACCTATGCACCTTTCACGAGGAGTAACAGGCGTAAGTAAGTAAGTTTATTCTCTTTTGTTTAAACAGGTGCACAGTAGGGACTGAACAGAATGTTTTAATGCAGCAACCAATACACCATGGTGTTCTCCTATATCGATCATACAATGTTGTATCACTGGTCAATGTTACATAGAATTAAAATGTGACATAATACTAACAGTTAAGTCAATTAATAAATCCTTTTTTTAGAAAACAATCAAACAAATTACCTCGGAATTCTTGTATACATTCACCAGTTAATACATTCCATAGACGTAAAGTTGTATCACGACTACCTGTAACAACTAAGTGACCAGTTTGAAAAGTTTGCTGTTGTTTCTCCATTTTAAACGTCGAAATAGACTCATTGTTTGATAGAATTGGATGAAACAATTTACTACTACCGTCACTGCTACTACTGCTGGCCTGATGAATATTGTAATTTGTTTTTTGCGTGCTTCCATGACTAGAATGGGTTTGTTGTTTATGAAATATATTGTGAGTTAATTCTTTATCTGAATCATCATCTCCGACACCATCATCGTCATTATCATTATTAATAGTAGAATTAGAAGTATTATCATCAATACTATTACTATTATCATTAGTATATACAACTGTGGAACGATGATAACTGTTCGAATTGGTAACAACAAATTTTGGACTAGAATGTAACTTTTGACTAGCTAAACATCGAACAGTTGATTGATGTCCAAACAACGTGGCTACACAAGGCCAATGTTGACCATCTAATTGCCATACACGAGCTGTTCGATCACAACTACCAGATATAAGTAAAGGATGCTGAGATAATTGTTTTTGCTCTGACAGAAATAAAAATTGACGTGGTATAACAGTCATTGACCAAACACCACCAAGGTGACCGAATAAATTAATTAAACACTGTCCAGTATTAATATCCCATATGCAGATACTTGAATCATCTGACCCAGTGATTACCCATTCTTCATATACTTCTAAACAAGTGATGACATGATTCTACAATAAAAATATATTACAACTAATACATATTAACGATTGAAACTACTACTCATCATAAGAAAGACAGAAGTATACATTCACAAAACATTGAACAAAGGGAACAATATACTAACAAATTTTCAGCACAAAATACTTAAATAAAAACAAAAATTTGAGCCGTATTAACAGTTTTCAAATATCAAAATCTTTTCTACCATCATGAGATTCAATAATAAACATTTACTAACACGAAATATATTTATCATCCCGTTACTTTTTCATAAATGACATGTAACCTAATACGTAATAACTACAACCACAATTTTCCACTGTTCTATACACTTCATTATGATGACTAAAGTTACGTATGCTCTAAAGAAATTTCGATTCATTAGTACATTAGTATACTAAACTCCATTAGTTAAGATGGACCCACATAAGATCGAGATAGGGACAACATTAGTATTAGGATTTGAACAATGTATCGTTTCATTGACTGATCAGTATCAGTTTGAGATGATTTTCACTACCGACTTGAAGCAGTTGACCTATATCTGCTGTTATTAAATATACATTTTTCGATGATACATACTTTTTAGAATTGTAGTAAACTTTCACTGTTTGACATGATTACCATATTCTCATTTGCAAGTGAGAAAGTTGTTGCACGTTAATATTACTAAAATTGTATCATTTTAACAAGAATGTTATAAATGACAATGTTGAAAGATCATTTTTCTGCAAATATTCATATATGAGATATGATTTCAAATATACTTACAATTGACTGACTTTCCAATATGACAATGAACAAGTTAGTAGCATGAAACGGCTGTTCAGCGCTTCCAGGATTTAAATGGTGGTTTTATTTAGCTCATAGTACTACAACTACTACGTGATTTAAACCATGAAAGTTCTACAATCTGCCCAAATTTCTCGATACTGTAGATAATTATCATTCGATAAAATACAAACATTTCACTAGTATGAACAAGTGAAAATCTTTTTATTTTCAAAAATAATGTATAATTCACATCTCATTTAACCATTTTATTCAATCTATTAAGAATTACATAATGTGTGGACAACAATCTGGTAAATTGTATTTTTAATTAGTGGTACCCATTGTTTGAGACTAACCTGATTAATAAAATGAGTAATACAGAGATATGAACGAAGAATATCCTTGAAGAGGAAGAATGTATTTGTAAAACGACATATACACTTCAAAATTGTGTTATTCGCACATTAGAAAGGTCAAAATGATTTGGAGTAAAGTGTCCAGTCACAATAAGTAGAATAGTATTATAGCAAAAATGAAAATGTAAAAATTTTTTTTGTGTGAATAAGATGAATAGTAGGTGAATTTTATCTTGTCAATTGAGATAATATTATTATTGATATCACTGGTTGAAATCATGAGTCAATTGAAGCTGGACCACCATGGAAAACACGGAAGCAGTGGACGGCCGTTTCGTCCCAGTATGGGACTCCTCAGCAGTGCGCATCCAAGGAACCATATTTTTTCAACTAAATCTAGAAACGGTAAGTTGCTTTCAGGAGATCCCAAATCCTTAATGTGGGAAAAAATATATTCATGATTTTTTCATAAGGTCCAATGTGGAAATGTTCATTTACTTTTTCATAATAATAATTTTTCTGTCTTTACGTAGCTGTTTTAGATAGATTAGGCGCGTTCGGTTTTTAATTCGACAATGCAACTGAGATTTTAAACTTTACTGAATTCGCTTGGTCATCCGGAACACTGGTTAAGGCAGGCTCGATAAACGGAATAATTTCAGAAGCTAAGAAGTTTTGATTTAAATGTCTATCAGATAGATTCACCACTATTTTGTTTATACCTAGTTCCTTGGATTTGTTTCTAATCGCGTCATTATTGGATTTCGACGAATGTTGAAACATTAGTTCAAATTTTTTTACTTGACGGTTTTTTTGTAATTTGATCATAAAAGTTTTCTTTGTTTGAAAAATTCATTAATATTTGTTTTTAATTCTGTTGGTATAATCAATGATAAAACACTACCGATATTTTGCTATACGTGAACGTAAATAGTCCAAGTTTATATTGGATTTATGTATATGTTCCCTAAGAAATACACTTGTAGCTGTAACTATTCAATCAAATTTAGACAAAAGTTCTTATATATTATTCTGCAATCGCATCAAATTATCGAAGAAAATTTACGACTGGTATAACCACCGAATTTTCAATCTACGTTGTTTAAACCATCATGTTTATCCAAGAACGTTAGGAGTTAAGACTCCAGGAAATTCACCACGTTCACAAAAAGCAGCTGTTACAGCTACAAGAGTATTTCTTAGGGAACGTATGAATTTAAATGCAGTGACTGTAATGCAGCGTATGTAGGTGAAACATCAAGACAACTGAATGTGAGGGTGAAGGAACACAAAATATGCTTGATGCACATCCCTAAATCTTCAGATGATGTAATAAAACTCGAGAACAAATCAGCGATAGCATTACACTCGATAGAATCGGGTTATACAATTGATTTCAATGACACAAGAAATGCCTTAATTCTTACAAAGAGAGGCTAACAACCGAAGCCCTATACATATGGGTAAATCCAAACAGCATTATTACGAGGTGGAATACAATTAGCTGTCCCATGGCAACTGATAGTTAATATGTAAACCTGAACTCCTTATTCCATTTTATCTACCTCGTATTATCTGAATAACAGCAATTACATTCAACGGTTCTAATCAGTTACCTTATCTGAATGTCTTAAACAATTAAGTGGAACATTAAAATAACACAAACATTCACTTGTTGTTTACTTGTATCTTACCATTGTTATTTAGGACTGCAATTGATCAGTCCCTTGTTGGCATATGTGCATCCTGTGTGGATGACCTCGATATTGCCTTAAGTCACAAGCTACACAAACATTCAATTACAAATACATTCTTCCTCTTTGAATTCATTCTTTTATCTTGTTTATTTCTCTTCATTTTATGCATGCTGTGACATTTTTGATTCATATCATTTATAAAAATTATATGTTTTCTTAGTATTCACCGATCGAAGACAATATATAATGAATGAAATTTCTTCTTCTCACCTACGTATACACACAATCTGTTATCTTAACACTTTTCGCTTCACGCCACATGTCTCTTACACACTAATATAAATACCTACTTTAAACATTGTTAAGGTTGATTGGATGACCTATTCAGTATACAATGAACCGGAGAACCGTGTACCTATTTATATTCGATAATTTTGATGTTTGACTATATTTCATTGAAAAATATGGGATCAGATTGCCAGACGAAACGTTGGATTTACTTCAAGTTCATTCTCTGAGATTTTACAAATAGTTTAAAAATCCCCAATAGAATATTCAAAAAAGAAGAATATTTGAGCGAACAATTGTTTTCAATAACTTCATCATCAGGCTCTGCAGTTATAAATCCATAAATATAATATTTTACAAAGGCCAAAATAAGGCATGTATTAATGAATTTGACAATGTTATGTGTTAAAAATAGTGAAAGTTTGCAATATTATAAACATCAAACCCCCTCTTTTTTCTATTGCCTCTATCTTAATCTTCACATCCATCATTCCCAATTCGTTTATCGTAATTACATTGATAACACCCCCCTTATTACATATTATGTTCTTATAATAATCATCTGCTCACTAGTGACTGACTTCAAGAGATACTCCTGGAGTTCTAGTGAGAAGCCGTTATCCGTGGAGTTCAACCAGGTCGGTTGTGAGATATCAACTCACTGAAGACAATGGTGTACGGTGGCGCAACTTCGTGGATTGGTTGAAGTTAGACAATAACACCGTTGAATGGCGGCTCAGTGGTCTATTGGTTAAGTGCTCGCACGCGAAACCAGTATGCTCTGGGTTCGAATCTCGCAAGGGGCGACGTCGTGGATACGCACTGCTGAGGAGTCCCATACTGGGACGAAACGGCCGTCCACTGCTTCCGTGTTTTCCATGGTGGTCCAGCTTCAATTGACTCATGATTTCAACCAGTGATATCAATAATAATATTATCTCAATTGACAAGATAAAATTCACCTACTATTCATCTTATTCACACAAAAAAAATTTTTACATTTTCATTTTTGCTATAATACTATTCTACTTATTGTGACTGGACACTTTACTCCAAATCATTTTGACCTTTCTAATGTGCGAATAACACAATTTTGAAGTGTATATGTCGTTTTACAAATACATTCTTCCTCTTCAAGGATATTCTTCGTTCATATCTCTGTATTACTCATTTTATTAATAAGGTTAGTCTCAAACAATGGGTACCACTAATTAAAAATACAATTTACCAGATTGTTGTCCACACATTATGTAATTCTTAATAGATTGAATAAAATGGTTAAATGAGATGTGAATTATACATTATTTTTGAAAATAAAAAGATTTTCACTTGTTCATACTAGTGAAATGTTTGTATTTTATCGAATGATAATTATCTACAGTATCGAGAAATTTGGGCAGATTGTAGAACTTTCATGGTTTAAATCACGTAGTAGTTGTAGTACTATGAGCTAAATAAAACCACCATTTAAATCCTGGAAGCGCTGAACAGCCGTTTCATGCTACTAACTTGTTCATTGTCATATTGGAAAGTCAGTCAATTGTAAGTATATTTGAAATCATATCTCATATATGAATATTTGCAGAAAAATGATCTTTCAACATTGTCATTTATAACATTCTTGTTAAAATGATACAATTTTAGTAATATTAACGTGCAACAACTTTCTCACTTGCAAATGAGAATATGGTAATCATGTCAAACAGTGAAAGTTTACTACAATTCTAAAAAGTATGTATCATCGAAAAATGTATATTTAATAACAGCAGATATAGGTCAACTGCTTCAAGTCGGTAGTGAAAATCATCTCAAACTGATACTGATCAGTCAATGAAACGATACATTGTTCAAATCCTAATACTAATGTTGTCCCCATCTGGATCTTAAGTGGGGTGAACCTGTATGCCGAAATTACGAATCACATATGAAATTATGCATTATCTAAACATCATTATTGCAGTTATGCATACTTATTACCACGCTATTATACTACATCCTCTATAAGCTGTAAACGACACGAATTTAAAATAAAGGTTATTGGGTAGTTATTTGTACCGAATAACTGGGTTGTAAAGAATAACCATGAGAATGTAGAACCGAAGTAATGAAGGGGCAATACAAATACACCATCAGCAATCTCGTTGAAGCCTTATCCCTATATCCTAAGAAAGGAGGTACTGTTTTCTATGTAGTTCACTAACATAACGCAACATGCTTTGGATGACTGGCAGGAATGAACACGTTAATGCCGGTAATGGGCACAAATGTAAAAGAATATTTCACACAGCCGAAACCACTCGTCGTTAAAACTCATCATTTCATAAAAAAATAATGATAAAACTGAGAGGACGAAAAGCGGTTGTCCGACGCTTTAACTGGGTTGGTGGACATGGAGAGTCCACCTAGGGGAGTTGGAAAACCCTGATTCCAAACCAACGGTGCACATGGGCTCCAGTATCCTGTGGGAACAAATGGCGTATGAACCAATCATTGGTCACCGGCTACCATGGAACTGCATCTCTTTACGTTGCTCCACTGCATTGTGGATCAGACCTTCAGGTTGAAGGCTCGGGGAGTGGCCCCCTAAGAAAACCACCTGCTTCGGTTTGGGCACCCGGACAGTATCACAGCTCTCACACAAATCAAATGAGATTTGTGTGGCGCATATGTATTTGGTGCCTCCTTGTACCAATATCTATGTGTTAAAATAAACAAATAAATAATTCACCATTCATTGACAGATGTAGAATTCCTCAAACAACCAAAAGCTTTTGAGAACGTGACTTTTTGGCATTCCATAATATAAGACACTCGTAGAAATGCAAATCGTGTACAGAATAAAAATTCACCTTCACGAACCAATAACTTCTCAAGCGACATGGAGTTTGGTCTCATAGTCAATACTTCACTTCGTGGCACAGATAGTCTGTTAGTTATGGATGTCAGTTCTATACATTTGGTCGGTTGACAGGCTTTTATGCAGTACCTAGGTGATCATTCAGTTATAATCACGAGTTTCTCCGTTTCATATGTGAGAAAGATCCCCGCATTAGTCGTTTGACAGCTGTTCAGAAGAATAAGATTCGTCCTTTATTGATGTCCCGAACTAAAGCACTCCAGTTTCCAGTAAGTGCCATGCTTTCGGACAGATACGACTTCACATTTCCAGTAATTCTATACTGCAGTGGAACACAACGTTTCTAGGCACTTCTTTCCTTATTTCATGCAATCTAACATGGAACCAGCTGTTTATAGCAAGATTGTCGTCACTGATGAAAGAACAGGTATCCCTGTCAAAACATTGTCTCGGAAGAAGGCTACGAACCTGCCATTTGGCTCGGAATTTTCTTTGACCAGGATTCCAAATGTTACTGGCATCGTCTTTATGAAGGCATTTAGTGCAATTATCTCGTACAGAATCGTACACTTCTTGTTGCACCTGTGGATACCATCAGTACCTATCACATCCGAAAATCGACCGTCTACATTTTTCTGATCCAGTGTTGAGGAAATTAGCATTTTAGACCATCGTTCACTTGGCGATTCCCAGTTGCAACCTCCAAGATTGATGATAAGTGCAGCTAACGTTTCAGAATCCCCAACTAATTAAAGATCATAACCCAAGTTAGGCTGACCCAGAAGTTACGGTCGTTTAAATAAACGTATTGGGCGACTATTATTTCCGTAATTTTCATACCTAAAAGTCAAACTGATTAACAATCTTAATTTAGCATTTTTATGCATACGAATAGTCATTTCACGGTTTGGTTTAGATGATGCTTGGTAGGGTACAGGGGAATGGTGGAGGGAGCTTTTGATACAAATTTTATACCTTTAAATACTATTCTTGTTTGTGCTATGAGTCTCGGATGCATAATAGACTGAAGTAGCAGGTCTGTGATAAGCTTTTCGAATGACGACACTAATATTCTGTCCTCTCATTTATTCATTTCAATACAAGCGCTCATCCATATGCTTCAATGTTAAGGTTTGGCCTTCGAGAAGATTGAACCAATTCAAATAACGCTATGTTGTAAAAGGGAGTTTATAATACCAAACTAAACAAATCACACCACCTGAGAATTAATTAGGCTCCGTCTGATTTGACTAGTGAGATTGCAGTAAAAAGGATAGATAGATAATGGAGAAATAGTGTTAATCTTATTGGTTTGATACACATAGGGAGAAAGTGAGTCGAGGATTAACACACACCAATTACATTAATAATTTTAAAAAAACTAGGAATTTATAAACCTAGATCTCTAGCACCTATTTCATAGCCATAGGAAAAGTCGGTCACCTGACCCAATCAGAGATTCTTCGGATTGGCTCTAACGTAATATATATATTGCTGAAAACATCAACCGTGAAATATCTACTACTGGATCATCTACTAATTCAGTTGCTCCAGAATTTACCAAAGGCTATAAGAATTCCGACTTATCTTAACAAGTTGGCTTATTATACTTTAATGTTCCATCAGGATTTCTGACAGACTTCCAACCTACGAGTATACTTATTGCATAAAATTCAGCTCCACTTCAGATCTTTTAGTCCTATAGTTTATTGGCTTCTGGATAGCAACATCCAACCAGTACATTGATCTCTTTACTCAACAATCCAGGTTAACATAAGTCAAATAGATGAGGGATAGTAAACCGATACTACCGTCTTTCATAGCCTGTTGGGTTGTTTTAGCTAACTAACAATTAACGTAGTAGAATAACACGAATTCATTATATTTTGGAGTTTCTCATCAGCTGTTTACAGCTCAAACAAAGTAGTGCTATTCATTAAAAACTAGCTTATTTACTTTAGACCATAGTATCGAGTGTTTTCATAAGCTATTTCATCACCCTTGCTTCAACCCAAGTCTTGGAAAGAAAGGCTCCTTTTTGGTCATCGCATTATCTGTTAAAGGTTTCATCCCAAGCAAGACTTTTAACCTACGACCTACTTATATTATTGATTATTTTTCAATGATCCCCTTAAGCCAAGGACATAATCGCGATATTCATTTAAGCATACACATATACACAAAAATTACCAGTTACTATTACACCATTCAAAATACCAATAATCATAAAAACAGTAATTTTATTTTAAATGGATTGGATTATCCTACTGTTAATATTTTAACTGAGATTTCATCAGAATTGGTTGGCATATTTGCATTCTGTGCGGATTACCTCAATATAGCTATTGTGCCAAAAATTAGTATAGAATAGATGGAATGTGCAGAAGTGAGCAGCTTTATGAACTCAGTATCTAAGTGTTCGAAGTAGACGGTACAGTACTAGGTCCCAGTCTCGGAGTGAATGTCAACTGCGAGATGAAGACACATCCGGTTGACGAGTCCCAAATAGGACAAAATCTGAGTCCTGGATTCGATTGCTAGCCACATTTAATCTATTCTAAGGTAAAATTGTAGTAAACCTACATGATGAGCCGGTACAATGATAGGATGCCATGGTCCACCATTTCTCCAATTGCACTGAGTATGTAAATCTTGACGATATAAAGACTTCCAATTGACCTGTATGGGAGAAAGTAATAATATATAGAATTCTACGATATGAAGTAAAAAGTAGATAAAAGTATAATCATTAATATTACATGTCAATGAGTGACATATACGCTACGAAAAACAAAACTGTCCCATTTATGATAATATCTATGTTCGCAAAATACCAACAAAAGTTTATGGGTTAGCAAGTGGAATGATACACCATAAAGCTGAAAAATCATATTAAGAGCAGTTGTAGTTTGAATACGTCGTGATCAGTGAACATTATTTATTTATTACTATTGATGGCCCTATTCAGTATTATATATTTAGTACAATATAAAATTCTCAAGTGTTAACCCGCATCAACTAAAACGTGAAATCTACTGACAGGTGTCATTTACCTAGCTTCATTGTTTGATATTACAACTGACCGATTCGGTTCGCAATTGACCTCCTGCGGGGTTGAAATATCTACAATTGATCACTGAGTAGTGGCCAATAATATGTTTGTCTAGTCTTTTAGTGAGGATCGAATTCTATCGAATGCAATGTGATCGATTAGCCTACTTTCAACAACCTAACAGATCAACATGGTAATAGCAATGTTGAATCACTTAGACTAGTGACATTACATCTTAATCTATGGAATTCGATCACCATTAAAAGATCAGACAAACATGGGACTAGCCATTAATTTGTGATCAATCAATCGTAAATATACCCTTCAACAATTAGATAATCAATGAATTGATAATGATGAATTTTACAGTAAACTAATAACCAATCAATTATGACTAGTAAGTATACGACTAGATTTCAATAGAACGAAATAAAAACTTCGGTTATTAAATTATACTAGGAACAATGGCTTAGCAGCCAAAGCATTCGGATTTCAAGTTATGAGATTCAGTCCCACTTCACTTAGTTCATTTCAAGTAACAGAGAGTAATTAGCACCACTAGACCCCCCCACACACACACACACTTCATAGCTCAAAACCAAGTGTACATGGTAAATGACTTCCATTAGAACCAGAATATAAGCATCTAAAAAGTAAAATGCTTGTTTAAAAAAGATTTAATATTAAAATTACTTACCTCATTCAAATTAAAAGAATTTGAAGGATTACCAGAATAAGATAATGCAAAAGTTGATTCACTATCAGTGTCAAAAGATTGAATATGATCACTTTTCATGGACACATCACAATCATGTACCTTAAAATTGTCACCATCATCAGTGATATTACTATTATTGATGATAGAGCTTTCAAAAAGGGATTTTGTCTCATTACAAAGTGAATTTGTAGGTTTATTTACACATAAAAGACAATCCAGATGGGTACCTAGATTGATTTTTGTGTTTACAATAAAAAAAAACAAATAAACACATTACCTGAATATAAGTTCATTGTGGATTTGTTGAATAATGTGTTAAACAATCCAGCACCTACACACAAACGATACCAAAGCAAATTATCATCACAAACAAGTTGCCAAGTTTTGGAAACCTACAAAAAGAAAAAAGAATAGAGAGAAATATGGAGATATGTGGGGTAGAACCTGGAACATAAGTGCATCGATTGAAGTTGCTAAAAGTGAGATGGAAAAGTTCCATTACTAATGATGGGTTTGTGGAAATTGGTTAACTTTGTACCTTGTATCACAGACTAACTGTGGATAGACAACCATAGCTATTTCGCTTCAGCTTAGGAACCTACGGCAGCGTTGTGAATTGACCAAGGTTAGAAATGTCAATCATTTGATGGAAACAGAATGTTCTGAAGGACAAGAGCCGTAAAGACTGAAGGTCCTAGGTTTGATCCCTGGTAAGGAAACCTTGATTAGGGAAGAACAACTATCCAGTGCTTAACGGTATTCAATGGTGATATATAGTGAAAGCAAAATAGATGGAAAAAGTATAGTGGATTGGTAACATTAAGTAAATATTTCGAATGATAAAGGAAATAAGTATTAAAACGGCAAGCGTTAATGAAACTATCTCGGACAAGAATGGAACTGTCAGTCAATTTGAGTCCAAATTAAATAAACGGGAAGAACACTATGGAACAGTACAGCCACTCTATAGCAACTCTCCAGTTACGAGCAATCTCTAAACAACCTGAATGAGAAACTGAAAAAAGTCCTTCAATTCCTAATGAGGTTATAAAGGTTATAAATAATGTGACGCAAAGGAGGGAAGACAGTTCAGACGGATTAGTCCTGGAAATATTGGAGGATAGTGGTCCAGTTTCAGCAGTTAAGTTGACTGTAACATTGGTTAGAACCTGAGAAGTAGGCGAAGTCTCATTTAACTTATCTCGATCGTACCAGTTTACGAGAAAAGGACAAAATTCAGAAAGGAATCAGTATGACTAATATAGTGTTCAAAATATTGGCCCTTACAAACATTCAATGCCTATGGCTCATGAAGAGTAAATCCAAGAAAGTCAGGTTGGTTTCAGATAAGGAGTAAGATGAATCGACTAAATTATCACTTTACAACATATTTTATAACACAGGCATACTGTCCAATGTCCGATTATAGATGTATTTGACCTTAAAGTAGCATTCGACTATGTCGATCGAGAGATTTTGTGGTGGTCTGTCAATGAAAAGGGTACCAAAGAATTGCATCAAGCTTTTAAAGGACGATTACTTTGACGTTATTATTTGAGTTAGAGCTTATGGATAACTATCATCAAAATTGTCAACTTCAAGTGGTGTTCGCCAGTACTTTTCACTTTCTTTTTTAAATGACTTTGTCATAGACACTTCTAGATATGACACACCTGTCATCTAAATTTCCAGGGGTTGATCTCTTAACTGTAAATTCACTTGTCGATTTAAAATACGCAGGTGATACATTTTTGTTAGATAAAGACAAAATGTTGGTTGGGGTCCGCGCAGTTATCGTAACCAGTGGTTGGAGACTCTGGGTGATATAGCTCAGAACTGATCACAGTGGCGTAGGTATATACACACTTTGTTTTCCCTTAAACTGTGAGATTAAAAATACTTCATTACCTTTCTTTCTACGAACTGATTCTTTCGTCTTATGAACAATCATTTTTAACACATTAATACCACTGAAGTAACTACTTCTATGAATTTGGCGACCATCTTGTTGTACTAATGAGATGTGGCAACTTGGACAGATGCATACATGTGCCTGGTCCTACGTTGTAGATGACTGACTGCCCAGGAAAGGACCTGAGTATTTTGATGGGAGACCTAAACGCTAAAGTCGGAATGGACAACACGGTATAAAAATGTCATGAGATGACATGGGATAGAAAAAATAAACAGGAATGGTGAGAGATTTGCTCATTTATATCCCTTCGAAAAATGGTTATAAGTGACACTATTCCCACGCAAACACATACATGAAGCTACATGGGTCTCTCCGGACCAAACTACAGAGAACCAGAGAATTAAATAGAACTTTAAGCAACGGTTCCAAACCTCACAAGATCTAATTAAAGAAGAGTGAACTACTATAGGGAACAACTGGTAAAGGATTAAGAAAGCACTCACTTCAACATGATAGGATGTTTTTGGCTCTAAGAAGCGCTATCATAAAAATGCATCTCTATCAATACTCTGGGCAAGATTCGAGAAAGGACAAACAATAAGACAGAAATTAACAACAATTGAATAAGAGCAGAGACTGAATACACAGAAACAAACGAACGATAGAAAAGGAGCATTAGAGCCTATAAGTAGAAATAAGTGGAAGCCCTGGCAAAGGACAAACGAAAAAGCAGCGAGAAGGAAATAATGAAGTAACTTTATGGTGCAACGAGGAAACTAGCAGAGAAATATTGTAAACCAGAAAGACCAGTCAAGGACGAAGAAGGCAAGCCAATCACTGAGATCCAAGAACAGCGAAACAGATGGCACAAATATATGCTGATCCAAGTTGGTCCATCTCACGTTAGTGAAGTAAGAGAAAGTAACAACATGAGAAGCAGAGGAGAACAAACAATATCAACTTTTTTTCAAATAATGGATGCACCCGTGCCATAGAAAACGATTGCGAGCCGTGTCATCCAAAGTCTCTGACCATTAGTTAAGATGATTACAAGGACTCAACCCAGGTATTATAAACCTATTAACATGGCTCAGTTATCAATGACCTCATAGATTGGTACCCATATGTACAATGACACAAAATCCTTTCACATCAAAAAATATATATCACGGAATCACCAACTCACTTGGGCGCAATGAAATATGTCTCGAGGTGATAAATATTGTAAGATATGTAAAGAAATTTCAACAGGTAAATATGCAATAAAATCTCGTTTCAACAATGGTTTTATAGTTTTTTTTATATGCAACAATTCGCCATGTGAACATTGATCAATTAAAGCGGATAACTGAGCAAGTCGATCATGACTACATGAAGGATTGTTGACATTTTCAAATTCATTTAAACGGTTTGTTGAACTGTAACTAACATCGCATAATGATGGAGTACGGATTATATTATTTCTTGATTTATCCAACAGGCGGGGATATTTCAACTAAAATAATATTGTATTTTGTGGTGATTTAAATGATCTTACATCTTTTTCGAATGTTCTAAAATAAAGCAATATAGATTAAAATTATCCTTATACAAAAAATAACATACTCTGAGCAGACTGACTGTACACATCTTTTCACCTTTGTACATGTTGGAAAAGCTTCAAGATAAGACATTTAAGAATACCTAAAATACAAAATAGTTTAAAAGAACTTGATCAGATGAGGCCAAAATGACAGTATATCAAACAATATATTGATCCAATATAATAAGATGTAGGTGCTGATAAATTTCTCTCTAAGTTACTTTCAACAAGTTAATATTAAATTACAGCACATAACTTACTTGCTACACATAACACGAAATGAAAACATATTGTCACAATAAATGGCTTTACTCAATATTATATGTTTGGTACAACATAGAATTTTCAGCACAATAAATAAAAAAAGATAATTCAGGGAGAAAGTTCTTTTCGACATTATCATTTACAAACGTTTTACAATTATATTTAAAGTCTTGAGAAAGTCTCACAATCGAAGTCTGTTGTCTATCCGAGACCCGTATTCAAAACTTTAGTGAAGCACTACAAATTCGCTATCCATCTATCACTTCACAAAGCTTGTTCAAAGTGTATTTATCTGGAGACCCTCTGGCGTCTTCGTTTGATTTAGCTGGTGTCGGGGTCACACTAAGTGATAGAGATGAGTCAGCATTGTTCAATTGTGTCCCCATTAAGTCAGCTATGTGCTGTTAAATTACAAGGTTCCATCAAAGTAAGGCCCCCAAATGCCCTGGTATGGCCGAGAGTGGGGGGAGTCCGCTCTCCCTCTCGAAAAGCTCTCATATGGCCACGCGTATACAGCCTCTGCCAGGGAATTCTTACTCACTGCCTTCTCGTGGCATTACTGTTGTTCACGAAAATGAGAGGACGAAAAGCGAATATCCGGAGCTTTAACCGGATTCCAAACCAATGGTGCACATGGGCTCCAGTATCCTGTGGGAACAAATGGCGTATGAACCAATCATTGGTCACCGGCTACCATGGAACTGCATCTCTTTACGTTGCTCCACTGCATTGTGGATCAGACCTTCAGGTTGAAGGCTCGGGGAGTGGCCCCCTAAGAAAACCACCTGCTTCGGTTTGGGCACCCGGACAGTATCACAGCTCTCACACAAATCAAATGAGATTTGTGTGGCGCATATGTATTTGGTGCCTCCTTGTACCAATATCTATGTGTTAAAATAAATAAATAAATAAAAATCAAAGTAGGAAGAAAGCCGTACGAAAAACGATGTCTTTTCATTATCTTCGCCTACGCTCCAACAGATTGCATCTTGGATGCGATCAAGGATAAATTTTATCACCAGTTAGCAGTTCTTCCACAGAAACTGCGTTCGACAGGTATTGTAGTACTAGTCTGGGACTTGAACACTCAGATCAGGCGTCTGGGCACAGAAGAGGGTCATTTAGGTAGTCAACGGGAACATATTGGTCGCAGGTCATATAACGCTGGCCGTCTACTGCAAGTGTGTGCAGACCATAACCTGTTTCTGGCTAGCACCAACTATCGACACAGTCATCGCCGATGTGCCACCTGGCGCCCTCCCTCTGCATCTCAAGCCTGGACTCAGATTGATCACATCGCAATCAGCTACCGCTAGCGTGGTTGTGAACAAGACTGCCGCTCACTTTGAAGTACCTATCTGAACTATAATTATACCCATGTTTGCTCTAATCTTACCTTACTTTTCAGTGACCAACAAATTCATCGTCCTAAAAGCACCGATGACAGTAAATTGGTTGCAACTAAATATCAAACCGAGCTAGGTTCAAGGTTAGTTATCATCCCATCGAAAAGTACAGATGAGCATTGGTTGCAATTGCACGACGTTATGAAAATGATGAGTAAAGTCGCTTGCGGCTTCGCGAAACGTCCCGCTTATAAACATTGGGTTTCTTCTGGCTCCTTACAAATCGTTGAAGCCCTTCTGTCTACTCCAGGTGACTGTGAGTTTGACCACAAACGACGACTGTTACGTAATAAATACCATTCCTCTCCGACTTTGCCATCAATGAAGTCTTAGAAACAGCTTTGATGGATGTACGTTATGGTGATGTGGATCGGTTGCTTGGAGCAAAACTTATCGACCTCGAGCATGCTGATGATATTGTCTTACTGTACGATAATACCCAAGTCATGCAATCCGCACTTAACCAATTGGTGATCAGTGTCCGTAGGTATGGTATGTGCGTTGCACCTTCCAAGTGCAAAGTACTTTTACAAGACTGGCAGGACCCTGATCCTACACTCACACTAGTTAGTGAGCGGATAGAAATAGTCAAGGAATCAGTGTATCTGGGTAGCTGCATAAGTGCTGGTAGTGGCGTGAGTGATGAGATCAATTCAAGTATAATGAAAGCCAGAGCGGCTTATGCCAATCTGAGCCATATATGGCGCCTTCGTGGTCTTAGTCTATCCGTAAAAAGTCGGATCTACAACGCATCGGTGAGAGCAGTTTTGCTCTATGCTTGTAAAACCTGGTCTCTCTGAGTTGGGGATGTTAGACGACTGTGTTTGATCACCATTGTCTCCGAAAGATTGCTGACATCTAGTGGCAACACCATGTTAGTAATGCAGAGGTTCAGCATCGTGTGTTCGGGCACAGAGACGACAATTCAGTTGGTGTCACCATCTTGATACATCGACTTCGGTCTCTTGGCCTACTATAAATGTGGTACCAGAGGATCCCACGTCGTGTATTATTTGCCTACACTGGGACTGTCTGCAGAAGGCGAGGAGGTGGTCAGTGTATGATACGGTACTAATAGTATAAAAGAAAACTACAAGACTGGCTTCTGTTGGCCATTCACTACTCTCTGGTTAGGATCTTAGAGCTGTTGTAACACAGTGGCTAGAGACGCTATTAGACATGGCTCACAATAGAAGCCAGTGGCGATCCTATTGTAACTTTCTTTTGCTTACTTCATAAAATGAACGTAACTTCTTTGACTGAAAGAATTCCTTCTGGTTGTACTTCTGCTAACTGAACTGCTTTTTCTCATTACTATTTCACTCTCATACACTAATTTATGTTCGTTATTCTTCTTTTTCATTATATGCATTTAACATTCTCTATCTCATCACAACCTCATTGTTATTGTGTGGTGCATATGTATTTCGTACCCCTTTATACTAATGTTTGTGTCGAGACAAATAAACATATTTATGGTTATTTAACAGACCTAGTTTCTATTTAATAAACAAGAAATTACATTATAAGACATTCAGAAACTCGGGTAATTTTGCATCAAATACTCATCAAAAGTAATCATAGATAACGAATTGAGACTCATTAAGAAAATGATTATCCAAAACGGGTATCTATTGATATTTATTGACAAGAATATAAAACTTAAGCTGCATAGAGCACAAATAACCTCTGTAGAAAAGAAAACACTTTATATAAACATAGATTCCAAAGGTGATATGACTCCAGACATCCTGAAGAGAAGAATTTCCAAGTCTCCCAATGAAACGTTCTTCGCAGCAACCTTGCGTACATGGTTCTCCAACTGATAAATATTCAGCAATAATTTTAAGGATAAATTATGTCACTTGACCGATTGTATGTGGAACAAAGGGGCATCAAATGCATATGCGCCACACAAATCTCATTTGATTTGTGTGAGAGCTGTGATACTGTCCGGGTGCCCAAACCGAAGCAGGTGGTTTTCTTAGGGGGCCACTCCCCGAGCCTTCAACCTGAAGGTCTGGTCCACAATGCAGTGGAGCAACGTAAAGAGATGCAGTTCCATGGTAGCCGGTGACCAATGATTGGTTCATACGCCATTTGTTCCCACAGGATACTGGAGCCCATGTGCACCATTGGTTTGGAATCCGGTTAAAGCTCCGGATATTCGCTTTTCGTCCTCTCAATTTCATAAACACCCCGCCACGAGAAGGCAGTGAGTGGGACTTCCCTGACATGATCAAATACTAGTAACCTATAAATGACTACGTATAACAACCATGATTCATAGTAATAAAAATAGAGAGTACTGCACAGTGTACTCACCACCTCCTTGGCAAGCATCTTGTTCATATCACAGGTGACGCAATCTGATAAGAGCTATGAAAGCTTTCTGTATTAGTCTGGAGATTTCGTAGACATCAAATCGAGAAAACTAAAGAAACTGCTAGCGTAAGTGAAGTGAACACGACAGACTTCATTACTTATCATCAGTCTAGATAATTATGCAGACCAGCCTTGTGGCAACATTACGCATTTCGAGGAAAACATCCAAAAAATGTTTGGGTTGTTGCGATCAGAAGACTATGTTTATCAGAGCCCTCATAATCGACAACTGAACTGAGCCATGTAATTACGTGTAAACTAACTGGTTGGGGTTCGCTTGATTATAGTAAGCACATGTGCACAAGTGCATCCATTATTCATCTTCCCCGAATTCTGCGCTCAATACCTCACAACTTTTTTTTGGTTTTATTTTACGAATTTTTTTGGATTGTATCTCTGATGCCTTATCTTCAATCATCACTCATACTGTTAGTTCCTCTACTATTCTCGAGTTTGGCCTGACAAAAGGGTATGACAACTTGTGCCGAAGTACATACGTACCACGTCGTGTTGCGAAAGATCAACTGAGAGTCTCTAATATAGATATTTATGTTATCTGAGTCTATAAGTGAGTCTCTTAGTAGGACGTAAATCTCTAAAGGAAGTGTAATCCTCCAAATAATGTACATAACGAAGTCAAAAATGGGCAAAATGGACAAGTGACGAATAAAATATACGATGTCTAGAGTTTCTGTCACTTCAGCTTTCCGTCCACAGATAAGCATTGGTTGAAGTTAGTACACCACTTGAGTAACATGTCATCGTAAAGTAAAGCAATATAGTCAACGTTTGTTAGGGTGTCTTTCTGAAGATAGTGTATACGTATGTCTGCTACCTCCAAAACTTAAGACTTCACCGATGCTAAGATGCATGGAGAATGAGGAACTCTATCTGAACCGTTCTAAAGAGGACAAAACAAACGGGACCCATCCATTATCAAATTTGAAATATCATAACCATGTGAATAGAGCTGAACACAGTATGACTTACTTCCCAGATTATGTCGACTGGCTAATTATCTTTATGAGGGAATCTCATATTATTGAGTATAGCGGTTCGCATCTGGCCTGAGGGACGTTGAGTACTGAGTAAGTGTGAGAAATTTAGTTAAGTAAAGCTAAGAGAAACATGGGGAAAATGAGCCGAAGACTCAGAAAGCTCGCAAAATTTACTTGCACTTGACAGTAAGAGCGATCGAGAATAAATAACAATGACAAGCCGAAAACCTAAACAATTTGACCCTAGAAACCATAAGCTAATGAAGCAAGGTTTCGAGTACGTTACGCAGTTTCTTGTCCAAATTTACCGCGACATACGCAAGGTCGAAATCAAATGTGTTTGAGGTGAAGCAGCACAAACCATAAGCATTCTTCGTAGTCACATCCTCATAGTAGGAAAGTGTTTTTCATAATTACAAAACACAAGAATCTGCAAATGATAACTCAGCAGTAACAAAAGACAATGGTCATTTATAAGCATGGCACAACATTTTCCGAAAATCAATCGAGATGGGTTAATTTCGAAGTTTGTTCGTGCAATTCTACTAAAAGCTTCGCTGGGCTTTATTTCTGTTTCATAAAAATACTGCATCTCAATATGAAGATAGTGTATCTCTATCCCTTGGTTTCATACAGTTAGTTTACTGTATAAGCAATATCAATCTAATTGCTACTAACCGTATATGTTTTTCCGTCTAGCTGACTCTTCAGTAGTTCAGGTGTTGATTTAAGCACTGTCTGGCTTTATTATCACAAAACCATGAACGCTATGTGCTGCTTAAACTCATAAATCTCCTGGCCTAGCATGGGTCTTACCCACACTAGCGAAGGAATGTATGGACCTATCTAAAGTGTTTTTCTACAGGACTTGATCTGGATCCTAGTTCTATAAAGAGAACATTTAGATCTGTACATGTAAAAGTTATCAAGATGAAAACTCCCGATGGTAGACCAATATCCCTTCCTTCCCTCAGTGTAAAGGTCATGGACAAGTCAAATATGTATCCTTGCGAGATTATCCACTTAGATGCTAAACTCTGCACAAATTCCCCCAAGAATATCATGCACTCTCAAACGGAATAACTTGAAAATTGACGAACTCTGAATAATTGTGGAAAAATTTGTTTTAAAATAAACTTCTAAACATTACTATATACATTTTCGAAACACCAGATAAAAGTCGGATTGGTAAAAACAACTGTTTTCCCTGCAACTCAGGTTTAAAACGAACCTCACGACAACGAGGATACTCACTTTAAATTCTACAGTCGAATCCCAAGTCCCAAACTTTTCTGTTCTTTCAGGAAAGTTGATGCACCGGGTCAGTTATATATCAGCCAAATAGTAAATGAGAGACTTTTGTGAATACTTAGTGTATTAGAGCTGAACAGTGAAGATGTGACCGCCTAAATTATCTAAGTTACACCAAGGGAAAACTAGCCATGCAAACGATTTATTGCGCTTCGATACACAAAGGCGATTTGCGACGACACAACATCACTGTTCGTCCTCAATGAGCGGAATAATTGACATCCTTGTGGTTTTCTGAAATTATCAGCTAATTATTTCGAAATATACTATGTTGTATCGGTTAAATTTTACTCAAAATAATTAGCTTTTGTTGGTATGGACGGTGTTGAGGTTGGCATGAGTTTCAAGTCACCTCCTGATGTTTCTTTGCATTTTAGATGTTATCGTGATTTCAGGTCAAATTCAATCGAAAACTGCTGAACGAAATAGTTAAATGTTCGCATTATTGGAGAGACGAATTTTTGACGAATAACTACTACGACGTAGATTTTTGCGCGGAAATTTGCAGTTTTTGAAGCCCTGCCACAGATTAAGGTAGAACTCCGTCAATTATGGCAACTCATTTATAATGGATTTACGAAAGGAAATACGACTACACTGCTGATCCAATACTGAAATTAGTGATGAAATTGATAGATAAGTCTAAGACGGTTATGGTTGTGTTTTTACTGTCTTTAACCAACATAAGCCCACATTACTGTCAAAAACCCTCACGCTGTGTAGTAAATGATTAACAGTTGATTTTCAGCCTCGGTAAGATTCGCAGGACTCATTTTCAAAAACTTCAGATTCATAGAGTCCCGACAATTAGTAATTTATCCAGTGCATGTAGTCTTCAGTACTCAAAGTGTTAATCAGGACGCAATGAACATCTAGTACAGAACTGGAAACCTGAGTAGGCAAATCAGTTATAGGTCAAGCAAAAGTCTGAGGAACGACCGTGAGCAGTGGTGGGCAACGAAAGCAAAAGAGATGGAAAAGGCTGCGGCGGCAGTGGCAGTGTCTGTCGTTGAAAAGTGTACCTCAGAAGTACGCAAACCTTGTGAAGGCTCTTTACTCGAACACTACCAGTCGAGTCAGAGCTTATGGCGGACTGCCATCTGCTTTTGCGACCTCAAGTGGTGTCCGTCAAGGATGTCCACTTTCTCCAATTTTGTTTAATTTCATTATAGACCTATTGATGGAAATAACATTCTCGTCGACTGAATTCTCGGGTATTGATCTCCTTCCAGGAGGTCCACTTATCACTTAGAATACGCAGATGACATAGTCTTGTCTGATGAAGACGCTGATAAAATGCAGTCTTTTGGTAGCACTGAGGAACATTGCCGGAATGTTTGGAATGGGTTTCTACCTCTCTAAATGCAAGTTGTTGCTTCAGGACTGGTTTACGTCAACATCTGAACTAAGGATAGAGAGTGAAGTAGCCGAACGCAATGAAAACTTCACATGTGTCCCTGATCTTACGTTGTAGCTGACTGACTGACTGACTGGTTTTCCAACACACTCCGTCCGGGGCCTTCCTTCCACTTCTATCCAATTATTGTTCATTCTTCCCATATCTTTCTCCATTTCTAGGCGCAATGTGTTCTTTGGTCTTCCTCTTCTCCTTTGGCCTTGAGGACTCCATGTGAGAGATTGCCTTGTGACGCAGTTAGGTACATTCCTCAGTGTGCGCGCTTCTTACAGATTTATTGTTTGTTCTATCCCACAGTATGTTGTTGCAGATAGTGTCTGGCCAACGGATCCGAAGTATTTTACGTAGACAACTGTTAAAAAACATTTGTATCTTCTGGATGATGGCTTTCGTAGTCCTCTAAGTTTCTGCCCCATGCAGTAGAACTGCTTCGACATTTGTATTGAGAATCCTGACCTTGGTGTTGGTTGACAGTTGTTTTGAGTTCCAGATGTTCTTCACTTGTAGATATCCTGCATCAGGTCCACCGTATTCATCAATGATGCTGCTCAGATATATAGGGGTTTTAACATCTTCCAAATCTCCGTCAAGTGTGATTCGATTGGTGCATGTTGTGTTGTATCGGATAATCTTTCTTTTCCATTTGTGTATGTTGAGACCTACTGCTGCTGAGGCTGCCGCTACACTGGTCGTCTTATCCTGCATCTGTTGTTGCGTGTGAGATAGAACAACCAGATCACCTGCGAAGTCTAGATCGTCTAGTTGCTTCCTAGCCGTCCACTGTATCCAGTGCCTCTCCCAGATGACGTTTTCATAATACAGTCGGTCACCATGAGAAAGTGAAAGGGTGGGAGTAAACAAGCTTGCCTGACACCGGTTTTTACCTCGAACGAGTCTGTGATCTGTCCTCCATGAGCGATTTCACAATTAATTCTACCATAATAATTCCGTATGATGTTGATTATCTTCTCAGGCACGCCGTAGTGTCGAAGAAGTCTCCATAGTGTTGTTCTGTCCACACTATCAAACGCTTTCTCGTAGTCAATGAAGTTGATGTAGAGTGATGAATTACATTCAATTGATTGTTCCACAATGATCCGTAGTGTTGTGATCTGGTCGGCACACGACTGATCATTATTTAATTCAGCGTGTTGGTCTCGAAGTTAGGCATCTACGGAGTCTTTCATTCTGTTTAACAACACCCTGTTGAAGACTTTTCCTGATATTGAGAAAAGAGTGATGCCTCTGTAGTTCTCACACTTGTTGAGATCACCTTTCTTTGGTATCTTGATGAGATGTCCTTCTTTCCAGTCTGTTGGTACTTGTTCCTCATCCCAAATCTTACTGAAGAGAATGTGGAGTATCTTTGCAGTTATTACTTCGTCTGCTTTAAGTGACTCTGCCGGAATGTTACCTGGTCCCCTTGCTTTGCCACTCTTGATTTGCCTGATGGCCATGCTGATCTCTTCACTTGTTGGTGGGCCAACATCGATTTGGAGGCCCGTGAGTGCTGCTTCGATGTTGGGTGGGCTCAGTGGGGCTGGTCGATTCAGGAGTCCTTTGAAGTGTTCTACCCACCTGTTTCGCCGTTCTTCAATGTTGGTGATCACCTTGCCTTCCTTGCTTTGATTTCCAGAGAGTTTCTTTGTCGTGTCATACAGTTGTCTCATATTTCCTTCTCTTGCAGCCTTTTCCGTCGTCATCGCTAAATCTTCCACATATTTACGTTTGTCGGTTCTGATGCTCCTCTTCACTTGTTTGTTAACTTCTGTGTATTCAGCTTGTGCCTTGGCTTTCTCTGCTCTTGTCGGTTGGTATTGATTGCTGCCTTCTTGTTCTTCCTTTCTTGAATCTAATCCAGTCTATCAACAGTGATTCATTCCTTGTGATGGTGCTTCTTGTGGCCCAGAACCTTCTTAAGTGTTGAAGTGATTGCCCCCTTGATCTCCTTCCAGTTCTTCTCCATATTAGTTCTTTCTCCATTGAGTAGATCACGAAAAGCCTGAGGACCGTCTTGACTTCGTTGCGTCTGTCTGAAGGCCGTATTAAAATTTTGTGATGTCCGCCACGTCGCCCTATGCTTCTTGGGTTTCGATTTCTCCTTAGCCACCAGCAAGTGATGATCTGATGCTATATCACCTCCTCTCTAGATTCTCACGTTCGTCTTAGCTTTTAATTGCTGCAGATATGGTCGATTTGTTTATGTGTAGTGTGATCCAGTGAAATCCATGTGGCTTTTTGTATGCGTTTATGTGGAAATCTAGTGCCGCCTATGACCAGTTTATTAAAGGCATAATAAATTATGAGTGGAATGTTACTGACTGCTGTTCTGCAAAGAAGGCACTTGTGTGAATCAAGTATCTGGAGTTTAATAATAATAATAATACGGCCTGCATACAACTTTGATATATGATGAGTTGGATAACCAGTAAAATTCTTCCAATAGGAGTAATTCACAATGGACGTCGTTTGTGAAGTTGATTTTTACTGAACCTGTCAAAAATACAGAATATTATGGTAAAACAATGTTCCTATTTACCTTACATATTGCCATTAATC